GGATTGCGAAATTGGAGTTTGCGTTGCGAATTTATTGATTATTTTCGCAAATCTAAATTTTTTTTTATTAAAATCATATATTATACGGTCTTTTCTGTCATTAAGATTATATATATATATATATATATATATATATATATATTTAACTCACGTGTCACATAAACACTATATCTACCCTGATCTTTAATCTTTTATTCTATACCTTCACGGTTCTTCAACCCAAACAAGAATCTCTGTCAATTCTTCATATTTTCGTTCTCTTTTTCCCTTTCCCAGAAAAATATTTTTACTTTCCAGTTGCATGAAAATTTGCCTTCAAAAGATTATTCCCCCCCTTTCTGTCTGGATTCTGACAAATCATGTCAATTCTTTATAACCCATTTTTTCTGTTCTTTATAACTTTCATTGTCCTGTTCCTTTTCCGGGTTGTTTTAATCAAGACCGGACTTATTTATATTGTCAAGAAAAAATGGCGTTTAGTCGAAGATTGTTTCCATGTCTACCAGTTCTTCAAAGTCCCCAGATTCAGCGAAAGCATGCAAAGGAACCACCTCTATCACAAAGTTTGGGTTTATCTTAATTCTCTCACTTCTGTTGAAGATTCCGATTTCACTAACCTCTTCACCGGCAAAAAACCAAATGAAATCGTTCTCCGCCTCGACCCTAACCAAATCATCGAAGATGATTTTCTGGGTGCCAAGATTTTTTGGATTAACGAAGACAACAATTTGTTGTTGAAGATTCGAAAAGCCGATAAACGAAGAGTTCTCCGGCCTTACCTTCAACATATCCACTCAGTTTCCGATGATTTGGAAGACCAGAAACGAGATTTGAAGCTTTACATGAACGTCGTAGACAATCAAAAGGGACGGTGGAGATCCGCTCCTTTCACGCATCCTTCAACGTTTGAAACGATAGCCATGGAAGCCGACCTTAAAAACAAAGTCAAATCCGATCTGGAATCTTTCCTCAAAGCCAAACAGTATTATCATAGACTGGGTCGTGTTTGGAAACGGAGCTATCTCCTTTACGGCCCTTCCGGTACCGGAAAATCAAGTTTTATCGCAGCTTTGGCTAATTTCTTGAGTTACGATGTTTACGACATCGGTTTGTCCAAAGTTTCTGATGACTCCGACCTTAAACTTCTTTTGTTGCAAAGCACGGCCAAATCCGTGATTGTAATCGAAGATCTTGACCGGTATTTATCGGAAAAGTCAACGGCGTCGAGTTTGTCAGGAATTTTAAATTTCATGGACGGGATTTTAACCTCCAGCTGCGGCAATGAAAGGGTCATGGTGTTCACAATGAACGGCAAAGATCACGTTGACCCGGCGATTCTCAGACCCGGAAGGATTGATGTTCATATACATTTTCCTTTATGTGATTTCACGGCATTTAAAACGCTGGCCAATAATTATCTAGGCCTCAAGGATCATAAGCTGTTCCCGCAGGTAGAGGAGATATTCCAAAACGGGTCGAGTTTAAGCCCCGCTGAGATAGGCGAGTTAATGATCGCGAACCGGAATTCGCCTAGCCGAGCTTTGAAATCCGTAATCAATGCTTTACAATCGGAGGGTGATGGACGGTCGAGTAAATCGTTAGATGAAGGTGGCGAAACCAGTGGGGTATTTGGCAAGGAAGGAGCAAATGCGGTTAAGGAATTTAAGAAATGGTATGGTTTGTTGAGGGTTAAAAGCAGTAGGAAATCTCAGTCGTTGGATCTTAGCAGTGATCAAAAGGAGGGTGGATAATGTTGATTTCTCATCAAACTCTTTATTAGCTTTCTAGTTTTACTTTTCATAGAAATTAGAATTTGATTCCCTTCAATTGCATTCTCAACTTTGTTTGTAATTGTTCATAATAGCATTAGATTGATGATTGCTTATTTTAGGTTTAGTGATCAATTTCTTATTTATTAAATTATTAATCTAAGTCTAATATTATAAAAACTTTATTAGCTTTAAAATTTAAGTATCTAATTTTATTTAAAGAATCTTATACTTTATTCTATTAAACGAACTTATTATAAAGGATGAGGTGTTGAATTATTGAAAGTACACTTGGGACTAATTTCATTGTTTATTTATGTATTGATTGTTTAATAATTTGAGTGATTATAAAATAGTATTTGTTTAATTTTTTATAGTTATTTAAATAAAATGAATAATATTTTTGTTTACTACTAATATGGTTCGTTTATTTATTTATGTATGGAATGTGGAATGATTAGGGGAGGGATAGGGATTAGGGTGTAGATGGTTCGGGTAATGATATGAGCGGCGTGAATGACGTAATGAATAGTGGGAAGAAGCACATGAAAGTAGAAAACAATACCATTGACGCAACAGCATGGAATTAATGGTCTGAATGGGCGGTTGGAGTGTTGTAGTCGAATATAACGTCTGCAATTTTAATCAAAGCGTTTTGCATCCAACACCAATTTTGTTCTTTTTCTGATGTACAAGGAATTGGAGTGAGAACAGTTCGGAAATTAGTGCATAAGATTTGGCCTGGGATGAAGCAATATGGGTGAGTTATGCGACAGTTTAATTTCAAATAATTTTAATCTAAAATATTATTATATTTAATTAAAAATTATATAAATTTATAACATTTCTAATTACTATTATTTATTAACGTTGCCATTGATTTCAACAGAAAAAGAGTAAATTATAATAGTACTTTTTAAATTTTAGGCGAAATATTATTTATATTATCTAATTTTTAATTGTTTAAATGATTTTGAACGATACGGTGATGTAAATAGATATTTTATTATTGTAATGATACGAATAAATTGATATCATTTTGATAAGATTATTAATATCCAAAATGACATAATTTTAGACACTGGACTTTAGAGATATATCTATTTTATCACTATACTTTAAAAAAAAATCAGTTTTAGGAGTTTAATTTTTCTTACGACCGTTGGAAGCAATCGTCGCTTGTTACTAATCTTCTTTTACAACAAGCTTGATATCAAAACGTTCAAATTTCACACATCTTTTCCTCATCAGATTGATTTTTCATGAAACCCACTCAAAATCGACATTCTAATATTTTGATATCTTTCGATTGTTATCCGATGAAACTAGTTTTGAGGTATGCATTTTGTTTTCTTGAAATAATCCTTCTCACCATTTAAATTTTTAAATAAACACTCCAAATCTTTTAAACTCGAGAATACTCCCAAATCTCTAAAAATAGTAGATTTTTTTGCTTAGTTTTTTCGATTTCGAGTAGGTTTTATGGAACATCAATCTTGTGAGAAGAAAGAGGAGTGAATTATGAATATTTTGCTATCAATCTTGTTGTGAATGACAACCATTGACGGGTGATGATTTACTGACAACGATAATCGAAAAAATTCAATACTTAAAAGCGAATTATTTAAAAATATATGACAAAATCAATACACTCCTAAACTTCGAGGTATGAAATAACTTCATTTTAAACCTCGACAATCATACTAAAATGATAATAATTTTCTATCGAATATTTGATTTTATTAATATTTAATAGTTTATTTATGATAAAAATATCAAATTTATTTATTTTTATCGTTTAACATTAAAGTGTGGATCGTAACTTTTAATCAAAAGAATAAAACACGCTCCTTAAGTTTAAATGCGAAAGATTGTGTATATTGGCAACTAATAAGGAGTCGCGTATATTGACAACTAATAGAATTGACAAAGAATCGCATATATGTGTATATTCACAATTGACAAAGGACATTTTGATTTTTTTACAAATTAAGGACATTTTAATCATTTCTAAGCATATACGGTTTAGATAATTATTAATAAGTTCTGAAGGTATTTTTACTCATTTCTCAAAGTTTTAAGGCTTTAAGGCCCATTTATAAGAATTAGGGATATATAATCTAGAATGTTAAGATAAATTTAAAAATTTTAAAAATACAATTAAAAAATATAATTAGATTTGGAATGTTATGAAAAAAAAAAATTTAGAATGTTAAAATGAAATAATTTGGAAAATTAGAAATGTAGAATGTCAGGGTGAAATAATTTAGGAATTGGAAATGGAGAACCTAATCTAGAATAAAAATAAAAGAAACATGGAACTGAATCTTCGAGTATCCGTTAAGTCGGATATTGTGCCTCGTGGCCCAATCCATGAAAATTAGCGGATCGGCTATCAGAAACGAGAAAAAATTTAGGAAAAAAAACATGGTTATTTTTATTCGGGTTGACATGTCAATGGGTCGGATAATCTTGAAAATATAGCTTATAAAGCTCTCAAGTTTTTGGAAAAAAAATCATTTAAGCCCTACTTAAACCCTCAAACTAAGAAATTAAATCAATTAAACTCTTGATTTGAGAAATTGAATTAATTAGTTCTTTGTCCAATTTTGACCACTAAATCTTACTTTTTTTTAGACATTACTATCATGTGCACACTATAATTCTATCACGTAAATTTTTTAAAGAAAAATGCTAAAAAAATATTAAAAAGTAATTTTTGGAAATGCCTCTTAGAAACTTTGCGATGAGATATCAATTAATCCAAAAGAATTGTTAGATTTAATGTCCAACTTTGATCTATGGGTGAATTAATGAAATTTCAAAGTATAAGGATTTAATTGGGTGTAAAAGAGATTCCAAGACTAAATTGATATTTTTAGAAGTTGGAAGACTTCAGTTACACTTGAGTCTTTTATTTTTAATTTTTTTTCGTAGAGATCAATTTTTAAGTTACATGTATACATATCATACCTTTAAATGCATATTTAAAAATTTTAAAAAACATTTTGTCAATAAAATAAAATATGAATTTTAAATCAAATTTATGAATTGTTATGTGAACTGATTAACTAAAATAAAAATACAATCTATAAATTAAATAAAACAAAATACAAAAGAAAGTACCACACGTTCAACTTATGTAACATTAAACACAATATGTATGTATGTATGTATATGAACCACATGTTCAACTAATGTAACATTGAAAGAGTCACTGGGAACAGAAAATGTTAAAAGTAGCCTTATATTCTTCAATTTATTACATGGAAAAGGCTATTAAAAACTACAAACACAATGGTGATGGAGTCACTTGGAAACTAAAAGTGCTAAAAGCATAGTAACAAGTTCTAGCCTCACATCCTTCAATTTATTACATGGAAACGGCTATTAAAAACTACAAACACAATGGTGATTTGAGCTGTGAATGTGATGGCAGAAGCAAGACAAGTCTGAGAACATCTTAAATTGAAGCAGCAGCGGAGGACTGAATCCAAACACCATGACCTTCTGAAAAAGTATGGCACACAGGGATCCCAGGCTTTGTTCCAAGCAAGCTAAACGCGGCATGTTTAGGGCTCCAAGTCGAAGTATCCATATGGCAAACAATGAGAGCATCCACTTTGTCGCCATTTTCACCAGCGAGTGCAACTTTGAAAATCTTGGTCTCAAAGGCATCGTAATGGCACATGTAGACCGCGTAAAGGTATGGGAGGGGATGACATGCCACTTTCTTTGGAGATTCTATCTCTCGAGGACGTTCCATGATTGTGTAACTCTGTAATATTGGGGTGGTCATCGTGGGGTGGTTTGTGCTTACTAGCTCGAAATCGACCTCGGGTCTGAAAGCATTTCTCACAAATTCAAGCATGGATTCTGAAGAGGTAGCGCAGATTTTGGTCTCCCCTATGGCAGGTTCGATTTCACATTTCCTGGCTGTATCTTTAACAGCTTTGGCTTTCGGTGAGAGTGGTGAAATTGAAAAGAATTGGAGAATTTTGGGAACTTCTGATGAGGAAAATGGGAAGGAATCGGCTACTTCTTTTGGTAAGAAACCAGGATAAAGAGAGTGGTTCCTGATGGAAAAGAAAGTGCTCAGTTTCCTTCCTACATTGAAAGTACGTATGTCCTCTATGGTGAACACTCCTACGTCTTCGCTTCCAATGTCATCATCTTCGTCGCTCGTAGAGGAATTTATATTCTCATCTTTGTCAATTCCATAATCGGGCTTATACTTGCTTTCAAGGCTTGCTATAGGAGAATACTTCTTTTCCTCTGCATCATCCACTCCATAGCTCGGCTTGTATGTACTTTCAAGGAGGGAAATGTAAGAAGACTGAGAAGATCTCTTGTCCTCTGCTTCATCCATGATGTAACCTGGTTTGTATTTACTTTCAAGGCGTGCAATACGAGATGAAAGAGAAGGCTTCTTTTCCTCTGCATCATCCACTCCGTAAGCCGACTCGTATTTGCTTTCAAGGCGTGCAATACGAGATGAAAGAGAAGACTTCTTTTCCTCTGCATCATCCACTCCGTAAGCCGACTCGTATTTGCTTTCAAGGCGTGCAATTCGAGATGAAAGAGAAGACTTCTTTTCCTCTGCATCATCCACTCCGTAAGCCGACTCGTATTTGCTTTCAAGGCGTGCAATACGAGAGGAAGGAGAAGACTTCTTTTGCTCTGCATCATCCACTCCATAACCCGGCTTGTATGTACTTTCAAGGCGGGAAATGTAAGAAGACTGAGAAGATCTCTTGTCCTCTGCTTCATCCATGATGTAACCTGGTTTGTATTTTCTTTCAAGGCGTGCAATACTAAAGGAAGGAGAAGACTTCTTTTGCCCTGCATTATCCACTCCATAACCCGGCTTGTACGTACTTTCAAGGCGGGAAATGTAAGAAGACCGGGAAGATCTCTTGTCCTCTGTTTCGTCCATTATGTAACCTGGTTTGTATTTGCTTTCAAGGCGTGCAATACGAGAGGAAGGAGAAGACTTCTTTTGCTCTGCATCATCCACTCCATAACCCGGCTTGTATGTACTTTCAAGGCGGGAAATGTAAGAAGACTGAGAAAATCTCTTGTCCTCTGCTTCATCCATTATGTAGCCTGGTTTGTATTTGCTTTCAAGGCGTGCAATACGTGAGGAAGGAGAAGACTTCTTTTGCTCTGCATCATCCACTCCATAACCCGGCTTGTATGTACTTTCAAGGCGGGAAATGTAAGAAGACTGAGAAGATCTCTTGTCCTCCGCTTCATCCATGATGTAACCTGGTTTGTATTTGCTTTCAAGGCGTGCAATACTAGAGGAAGGAGAAGACATCTTTTCCTCTGCATTAGCCACTCCATAACCCGGCTTGTATGCACTTTCAAGGCGGGAAATATAAGAAGATTGAGAAGAACTCTTGTCCTCTGCTTCATCAATTATGTAACCTGGTTTGTATTTGCTTTCGAGGTGTGCAATACGAGAAGCAGGAGAAGACTTCTTTTGCTCTGTATCATCCACCATATAACCTGGCTTGTACATACTTTCAAGACGGGAAATGTAAGTGGACGATGAAGGACTCGTTTTCTCCGCCTCATCATAACTATTATGAATGTTAGCGCTGGGGTGTGCTTCTTTCAAATCCTTCACAGCATTGCAATGGTCAGACTGCAGAAGAAACAAAGAGAAGAAAGTTTAGAATCTATTACACTACTTTTCTTTTCCATAATAGCTATATGGTTAGAGAATAGACAGGAATTTACCTTTAAAAGCAGAAGATGGAATAAGAGAAGTGAATAAAAGAAGCGAAGATTAACCATATTCTTTTCTCTCATTCACTTAGGAACTTGTATGAGTGATTTCCAGGCTGAATTGTTTCAAGGTTGCACAGCCTTTTATAAGCACGAATCATAGCGAAAAAGCTTTCTATTTCATTAATGTAATTATTATTTTTCATCACGGTTTTTTACAACTTGTTCTTTTAAAACTCTAAGATACTAAATTATTTTTTGGTCCCAATAATAAAGGATGATTTGTCCGTTCTAATTAACCCAAATTTGAACAGAACTGTCTATAAGATGTAACTGAATTTTCACTATTATTATTTTTATAAATATGGAATAAATATAAGATTACATTTGTTCAAGACTTTTAAATCTTTAATAACGAACGTTTATATCCCTTACAAACGTGATATTCAAACTCGAGACTTTAAGGGATAACTACAAATCTCTTAACCACTATATAAAATATATTACGAATATTGTTGTTCTACCTTTATTTTCTTATAATTTAATCACTATATAGTTTCTGCATAAAAATAGTTTTTCCTGCCTATTAAAGTCATACCAAGGGGCCAATAATCCTCTAATATAAGAATTTGGGGGGTGTTAGACAGTGTAAGTATTTTATATAAAAAAATATGTTCATAAAAAGATAAGCATGAGTTTATAAATTACAATCACCTCACCTCAAAGCCTTGAATTAACTTAATATTTAAATTTATGCATATTCAAATTTATGTGTAATTTGAGCTTAAAATAACTCTTTTGTACCAACAATCAGTTGTTCTAATGGGATGAGGTACTAGGTCCTTTAAGCAAGGTTAGGAGTTTGAATCCTGACGTCTGCGAATAGAGCAAATTGGGTTGGGAGGGCCGTCCTCGCCTTTGCAGTACCCAATCTAAATTAATCGTTCAATAGATCGAATACCAGTGATTAATTCAAATAAATAACGCTTTTGTTAATTTTAATAATGTACTGATTACATTCTGTGAATTATTTAATTACATGCTGCACAATTTTCTGATTAAAAAATATTTTTATTATAATATTCAAATTATCAAAATTTATTTCTATAAAAAAAAGTTTATCAAAATTGATATATTATAATTCTAGTTTTACCATTAATTTTAAGCCCATCCCTATAATATAATGTCCACTTCAACAAACATCACTCCTTCTGACTTTCCCTTTTTTTTAAAAAAAAAAGTGTTAAAATTTCTATTTCCGAAGTTGTTAGTGATTATGATAAGTACAAAATAAATTAGTTTACTCCGAGGCAGAATTCTTTTATAGCTTAAATTATTGGTGTAAATAAGCTTAATTAGTGGTAAGTATAAGTGATCACAACATGAATCAGTTTTAACTTATTTTTTTTAAGTATTTTTATCACTCAACGTTTAATTTTAGTGAAAATATATTTGACAAAAATTATTAATTTATTAACAGTTAACACATGTTGCTGACGTAATATTTTCAAATATTCTTAATTGTTGATGTTGCACATGCCACGTCATCATTTGTGTGACGTGGTACATGACATATAATCACCTTATGTGACATGACACGTCATTATCATGAGCGATGTAACATGTGACACGTCAATAATTTAGCATATGTATTATATATACAAATGTCATGTCAAGTTGTAAAAAATATAAGTTGATAGTTAGTTAACTTATAATTTTTATCTAATAAGAGTTATTTTGATTAAATATTAAAACGTTAGAGGCTAAAATATTAAAAAATATATAAAGGCTAAAATGAACATTTTAATAAACGTTGGGAACTAATTTTAATATTATACCTTTATAATTATATAACAATATAAATATCCCAATAATTATAGTCTCATAATTATTCTAAAATATTTAAGTGCATTCTAAGATATTTGAAATATAAAGTAGTATTTTTTAATATTATTATTTTTATTTGTATTAATTTTTAATTAATATATGTCTACCGTCAGTATTTACATTTTTTATGACATCACAATGTATGACGATTTAAGTTCCAATTAATTGGAAGAAGAAGAAAAAAAACTAAACTAAACTTGATTTCTTCACCTAACACTTAAAAATCACGTTAAAGAGTGGACTTTGTTCAGGATCCAAGGCTTTTGGGGGTGAGGAAATCCGTGATTAAAATAAGCTCATTTATCCTTTTCCCTTTCCAAATTCCAATTAAATACAATACAAGAGTTATCCCTTTTATATATTTATTTTTAGTTGTCCAATGAATTTTATCGCGTCTTCTGTACTAGTCGTTTCTTTTTGTTTTATTTACCTAATCTCTTTTTTTTTGTACAAATTTACCTAATCTCATTACCTGAATAAAATTAATAAAAAATATATATTATTTATAAGATTAAGAAAAATAATTTGAAAATAAAAAATAAATAAATTATAATGTCATGTCAATTCATTAAAAATATCACCAATCATAATTTGTTTAAAATTCGTTTAATATGAGCAGAGTTTTCTTTTATAATTAAAATTGTTGGTGTAAATAAGTAGGGTCGAACATGATTTTATGTTAGGTTGATAAATTTTTAAAATTTTAAGAAAGATTAAATTTATAAAATTTTAAAAATGATGAAAGCATCTTATCAATAAAAAGTACTGAGAAAAAAAAATTAAATACATGATAATTTAAAATTTTTAGAGGTAACATTTTAACACATATCCATCTATTAATATTAATAAGTGATATGTATAAACAGGGATAGATCGATCAAGGTTGACAGACTCATCATCTTTCTTAAAAATTTAAATTATTGTAATGAAATCCAAATTACTTGTTGATCCGAATTATGTTGCAGAGAATCTTTCATTAATGGAATCCTCGATGTGCGATGGGAAGGGAAAACCATACTGGCGTTAAGCACAAAGCCGTCATTATCACGAGCTACTTAATTGTGTTTGTGTATTATACGACCTTCAAACTCTGTTTTAAGATTCCAAAAATTATAATTAATTTGACTTTTACAAAATATTACAAAACTAATTCATTTAAAAATTAAAATGAAGGTTTCTTTATCAAAAGAAAAAAAAGGCTCAAGAATAAAGATGATGGCATCAATTTGAACAAAGTAATACATTGACTTTATTTATCATTATTATTTTTGCCTAATTATTTGTATCTTTAATTTTCTCAAAGAGTTGCAAAATAAAAAAAAAAGAAATAATCACTTTTTATTTATTTATAATTTATGGTGATTATGAGATAGTATATGTTTAAAATATTTCTTAATTATTAATAACGTACATATACCCGTAAACATATCATCTTGAAGTCAATATCACTAAGGACAACACTCATTTTAATCACTGAAATTACTTGATGAGTTCAATTCATTTTTAAAGTTAATTAAACTTAAATTATAATATATTAAAAAATATATTTGTCTTGCTTAATCCATCTAATACTTTAAAATCAAGTTAAAGTGTGGACTTTTTACAGGATCCAAGGTTGTTGGATGAGGAAATCCATAATTAAAACAAGCCCGTGCTTATCCTTCATCCTTTCCAAGTTCAAGAGTTTTAATCCTTTACATAAATCATTATATAATTAATGGATTTTTCATAGGAGAAAGTACTCGATTGAGTGAATCAAATTAAAAAATCTGAGTTAGTCGAATTTATGAGTACTATTTTATCATTTAAATTTTATTTGAATTTTTTTCGAGTTGAATTTATAAAATTTGAGTCTAGTCGGATAAAATGTATTTATTTGAGTTTTTATTCGATTTTAAATATACTTATTTATAAAGTCATAATACTATTTGGTTTCAAATGAAACAACTCTCTCTAACCTTATAAGTTATACATGTATATTTCTTCATACCATTTTTCGTATATGTAATAAAAATTTGTAATGTTAATTCTTCATACCATTTTGCAAATAGTTGCAATATTAGGATCAAACTGAATAAAATACAAGTTTAGGGGATTAAATTAGACTAAGTGAAATTACATAGAAATTATAAAGTGATAAAGGAGTATATGATTCAAATTTAATTAAAAATTTACTTAAGAAGAACGAAGAATTGAAGAAAAAAATACAAAATTAAGTGACTAAATTGGAAAAAAAAATGTTATCAAAAGGATAAATTGAAGTTGTATAAGTATTTTTAATGAAAGAGTGGCCTAGATCTGTAGCTAGCCCAATGTGTTTGGGCATTGAGTATAACCCTCTCTATTTTATTTTTGTTATTTATTGTTAATCATCATCGTCATTATTGTTCCTAATATTAGTATTTATCGCTGTTACTTTTATTATTATCATTATTAGTGTTTTATTATAAAAAAAACTAAAAACTAAAAAATAAAAGGAAAAGGATGAATAAAATTAAAAAAGTGAAAACAAGAAAAATAAAAATACATAAATTCAAAGTAGAAAGAAAATTGTAAATGCAAATTAATGATATATGTGGATAGCTCGACAGGTTCAATCCTTGAGATTTCAACATTTATAATATAATCTTTATCTCTTAAAACTTTATGAATTTAATTAATGGAAGCACTGTTCTACTGTTTAAAAAAATGTTTTGAAATATAACTTTATAAATTAAATTTATAATCGTTTTCTCTCCTATTTTTTTATTGGTAAATCATTCATCTTTTTCTCTTTTTGTTTTTGTTGATCGACGGCGGCATCAACTTTAATGTTGGTTGCCGATCGTTGATATTTTTTATTGTCTTTTTATTTTCTCTTGTTTTTCATTTTTAATAAGTCTACATGTATAACACGTTTTTCTCTGTTTTTATGGCACGTTTTTTGACCGTTTTGGTTGTTGTTTTCTCTTATTTTTTTTAAAGAGTTGATTAGACATCGCCACGAATGATCAAGATGGCGTTTATCTGTAATATTGTTAATCTTCCCTGCTTTGGACCCTCAGATTGGATTTGGATACTCATTATGCGTTTATGGATAACTTTTCACGTCACTTGAGTTTGATTTGTGGTTTGTCGGTGGTCTTTCAGTATCTTAATTACTTTTTGTTGTTCGTTTACCGATGCGATCAAATCTATTTGTATCAATCTCTTTTCGAGTTTTCTTGGTTATATTTTAATCTTTCTTTGTATGGTGTCATGTGATCTAAAGTTGCTAGTTTTATTTCAATATAGGAAATTGTTTTAATTATGTGTTTAATTTACGATTATGGTTGTGAATTTTTGTTATAATTTAGAATATTTCCTATTTTGAATAAAATTAGTGATTGATTTAAAAAAAGTTTTTAAATTTTGACGACGAAATCAACAAAACTCGATAAAAAATACTTCGAAAAAACATCGAGACAAAATTTTAAAATAAAACAATGCTCTATTAAAATAATGATTATAAAGATCACTATCAGGCTATTATCATGATCTTTGATAAATTTATTGTTACGTATTTTTAAGATGACAATTTAATAGAATTTAAATTTTGAGTTTATTTGTATATTTTTTTAATAGTAAAGAGATTAAATTGATCCATTTAATAATAGGACTAATTTGATCAACCCCATATAATACAAGGGATTCTTAGTTACATTCACCTTTATCATAAGGTTGTGCAAGCAAGGATGGCTTAAGGGGTGCTTGGATACACTCGTATCTTCGAAAATTTTAAATTTTTAAATAATTTTGATACTTTTTCTTTTTATATTTTTATTGGTTATTTAATTAGTATCTGTGAAATTTTATAACTTTACATTCTTATATTTTTAATATAAATTACTAAATCTACAAACCTAACGTAAAATCTTGACTCCGTCGCTCATTCCCTTAAAACTCAGAAATCTGTTAATTTATGCAAGAAGATTAAAAGTTGATAGAATGGATCAGAAACAGTAGCAAGAGATTGAGAATGACGCATGCTAAGCTTAGATTGAATGTTACAACAAACACAGCTTTCACCAACTTTATTATTAGCCGCACTCCTTTTGTATGTTCAACAATAAGGGAAAAGTAAGAAATCTAAGCTTCAGCTTTTCCCTTTTCCCCTAAGAACCGCAAACCGAATGCAAAACCTAAGATCAAGAGGGGCACCAAGAGCGGTAACATTTTAGACACAAACCCAGATTCATCGTCTTTACGAGTCACTGAATGTGGCTGTGTTTTGATCTTCTTTGGTGGAGGAACTGTGGAGCTGTCAACCTCACCAATGTAGTATTTCTTCATCATGTTTCTTGCATCATCACTATGACCAACGTCTTCGAAATCCTGAGTCGCATCTTTTCCTGCAACAATAAGATGAATCAAACCGAGCTAAAGAAATACGATCTGCCGGTGATAGTCGGATGACAGCAATAATCAGGGATGGATCTAAGTGACGAATTGTCTTGAAAATTTAAAATTATCATTACTTTTTTATTTATAATATGTTTGTCCCTTAAAATTTCAAAAGTTCATCCCTAATCTAAAATTCTCCTTATCTGACAATAATATCATCTTACCACTAGCGGCTAGCAAGACTTCATCTCCTCCAGGATGATCCTCCAAGAATTGGGTTATGTCATACACCTGATACAATAGGATGAAAAGAAAATAGGTTAACTGCACAGTGAAATCAACATTGCTGCCATCAATATACAAGTTTTACTACACCATTTGAGCTCTATCGTGATTTTTCTCGATAGGTTAAATTAATATGCATACAGATCGGAAACAAGATAAAGGCAGCTTACATGTAAATCTTATAATCGAAAGTGAAAATCTGATAGTCCGATGGTAATACATAGAACATTCAACATAGTTGACAAATTCCAGAACTAAGCTATAACATCTAAATCAATTATATAAAAAACAACAGGGAAACCCGGAAATCAAATTAGCAAAGAAAAACCCAACCTTTCCAGAGATCAATAGCCAACAATTATTCCTTTCCTTGTTCTTTGCCACGTCTTCAAAAACAAAAACCTTTTCTCCAGAACCCATTGCTTCAACTACATAAAGGAATGAAAACAATCGAAAAACCCCAGAAAAGTAGAGGAAAATTCACAGTTCGAACAGTGGTATTATGAGAAAGTAAATTTCAGACAACAAACTAAATAGAAGATGGATTGTCTTACCTGTTGTGAGGAGAAGAAGACAGGGGAATGGAAACGAGGGGAAGTAGGAAGAATTTGAGTCCAGGGTTGTCATAAAATGTGTGGGAGAAGCTGAATTTTATCTTAGTTGGCTATGATTGACCAATAAGAAGCTAGACACGTGTTTCCTTTTTAATTGTCCATGTGAACCATCCTGGATCTATCTGTTCCACACTTGATCTCTTCTCTCTTTCACGAGTTCTTTTTATTTACATTTAGCGATGAATAAAATCTCGCATGTGTTATCTTATTATTGGACAAAATACACTTAATTATTATTTGTTAATAAGCATGCCATTCCTTTCTTAAAAATGAGAAATATATGTATGAATTGAGATATACGGAGATTAAAAGGATTATTATTATTATTATATTTTAAAGTTTTAAATTTAATCACGAAGTATGTAAGGTATATGAGAGATCATTATTAAGTGATTGAGAATCGTTCGAATATATATTACCTTATAATTATATTAGATTAATAAAAAAATTAAAAATATATTATTTAGTTAAAATATTATTATAAAAACTATGCATGTAGCCCAACCGAACGAACACAAATAATTTTTGTTCATGTTCTTTCATTTAACTTTAATCAAACAAACGATTTGAACACAAATAACTAAACGAATAAAATTTATTGTTCATGTTCATTCGTTAATAAATGTAACTTGTTTGTGTTCGTTCGTTAAAATGATGAACGAACATAAACTAATACAAACGAACGAACGTAAACGAAGATAAATGAACGGGCATAAAATTAATTTGGTTTGTATTTGAGAAAAGTTTTTTTCTTTTCAAATAGTTTTAGGGTTTATATTTTCTTTAATTGATTTGGATATTTTTTATTTGGGTTTAATATTATTTGGGTTTTCAAATATTAATGGATTTAAAGTTAAAATTTATTAGGTCTTAATATTTTAAACGGGTTTGGAGATAAATGAACTTAAACGAACAGATTATTGAACTTTCACAAACGAACAAACCATTTGTTCGTGATCATTCATTTAATTAAACGAACATAAAATCTTATTCATGTTCGTTTGTTTAAAAAATCAACGAACTTCTCATCGAACGGTTCATAAACGATTCATTAAATGATCGATTCGTTTACAAGCCTAATAAAAATTTATTTAGTTATTAAAATTGAAACATACATTTAGCGTGAATGAGAATAACTTTAGTCCAGAAGGAAAGCTGAATTTAGATAAATATTGGATTTACACGCATTTTCCTCCTTACCGTATATTGTTTAAAAGTTTAATTTCAAATTTAATGGCCCAACATCCCACCACTGATAAACACAACTTGACTGACCAAAGAGACAGTCGTAACTGCATCAATCTTCTGGAGATGTTAAAGAACCATCAAGTGGTTCCACCATTCTTATTAGGTTAAGCTTTTCTTCCGGTACTCAAAAATACTCCATCTTTGTGGCACTATCATAGTCCAATCTTTCCATCGATAAACTGAGCTGCCCTTCGGAATCAGACTTCATAGCCTCGCCTTCCTCTTTTGGCTTCTTAACCAAATCGTTCAACTTCTGCAACTGTTAATCAAAATCCAAAACATGTTCGTTATAATCATTTTAAAGCTTCGTTTACTTTCTTTATATTCAAAGTTTAATGGTTAAGTACCTGAATCAGCAAGGCCTGCTTTTCTTTAATTAAACTTTCGAGCTTAATTTGAAGCTAGGACGGAGTAATTTTGTTGAAGGATGGCGTAATCTCGTTCAAGCTGCTTCGATTTCCAGCGAACACTTTTGTTCTGAAACCAGATTGCGACCTGTCGTTGGTGCAACCCCAATTCTTTAGCCACTTCCATATTTTTTCGAGGCTCCAGCCTGATTTCGGATTCGAACATCGATTCCAACGATCTGACTTGTTCATCGGTGAACTTCCGCTTGTTCTTTTTCTTGGCGGAAGAAGGCTTTGTCATCATCTCCAGAGTACAATCCACCCCCATCTAACATCTTTTCCATGAGAACTCTGCCGGAAATCATCATCCATTCATCCTTCATATACAAGCTGGTAAATACTACTACAAAGCAGTGTGCAAGAAAAGATAATATTTTTGGATTGTTGTACTTGTAGTATTTATAATTTCAAGTATTAATGTTGAAAAATTATTAAAAAAAATTCCTTTACTTATTATACCAAATCCCCCCAAAAATAAATGCATAAAACCCCTCCCTTTTTAATTCAAGAAAAACTTTTAAATAAATGAAAGAAATAGGAATGTATTCCTACTATTAGTCTTCGCCAATAAAAACAGTTTGCCTTCGGACAAGTATCTTTCACCTGTCACAAGTCAACCAACGAACACTTGACACATGGCATAAGTCAAACCTGCGTAACACCTTACGTAGACGTAGTCATTTTATTTGAAGATTTAGGGACGGTCGGGTAGAGTCATATAATTTTGAATTACTAAGTTTACGAGTCGTTTTTTATAATTCGGAGTTGATTTAAAATTTTTTTGAGTTGAGTCAAATTTTTAAGTTTTTGTTTAAATTTAATTCTAAATATTTACAATATTATGATATTTTTATTATAATTTAAATTTTATTTTATAACCATATACAATATACATATATTTTTTTGTATTTTTTCATATGTAATTTATATATACCATACAAAGTCAATAGACTCGATTCATACTTCGACTCAAATTTAAAAATCAATCTACTAATTATTAAAAGTTTCGAGTTATTCTAGTTGTATTTTATAACTCGATTTGAACTTGAATTTTTTAGAGTTTAGTCGAGTCAAGTTTATGAAATTATAACTTGAAGTTAATTTAAGTCAAATTTTTTTAAATCAAATCAAAAAAATCGATTTTTTGAGTCGAGTAAAACTCTTCCTTAAATTTAAAGTCCATAATAAAGTAGTGGTTCAACTTTGGAAAACTATATTTAAAAACATGGGACACGTGGCAGGTCTTGCCGTCAATTGAAAATTTGCTGTTCTATGGAGTTTTAGTCACTGAATTAACGATTCAGTGACTAAAATGTAATGAAGTGATCATATTAGTAATAAAAATGTAAATTTTTCAAAATTGGTGACCAAGATAAGACAGAGCAAAACCAAATGGAACATTACTGTAGTTTATCCAAAAGAATAATTTAAAAAAAATAAATAAAGAGTTTTACAGTCATTTAAGTTGTAGCCGAAATTATTGAAATATCCTAGCCACACACATCTGCCGCTTGGCTTACGATTAACTCGTCACAATCCTACAGAATCTGACCCTACCTTACAGGTAATAGGTTTTATAGGGAGTAATGTATAGATTACAAGTTATAGGTTTTAAAGGGTGTATAGATTACAAGTATAGGTTTTAAAGGGTGTATAGATTACAAGTTATAGGTTTTAAAGGGTGCATAGGTTAACTTTACTGCTTACCCATTATTAGATTTTGGTCACCCTACGACAAATTAAAAAAATTAAGTCCTTAATTATAATTTATATTTATGTCTTTAGTCACGTTCTGAATTACTCGTTCAGCTCAGTTGATAGATCGCAATGCTCTTAATCTTGTGGTCGTGGGATCGTGTCCCACGGTGGGTAATTCATAATTCTGACTGTCATAGGTCTCTCACGGAAATTGCTCTCAACTTGGCGTTGGGGGTAACCTACTATCCTACCTCCCCCTTACCCCATTACATATGAGAATAGGATCAACTAATTTTTTTCTTTAGTCATGTTGTATTATTAATATTACAGATATAACTAATGATATTAAGTTCACTACAAGTATCGTGATTATAAACTTTTAATAACATATACTATTATGAACATAATCATTGTTAATATTGTAATTTCAGACGAAAACATTACCTCTGTATAATTGTTGTTGTTGTGGTTACATATAGATGTTTAAGTAAATTTTTCTAATAAAAATATTGGAAAAAATAAATTTTAAGAATAGCTACATAATAATAAATATTGAAAAAATAAATCTCTAATAATAAATATTAAAAAAAAAATTTAAAAGTATACTTATAATAACAAACACTGAAAAAGAATTGAACCTCCAATAAATAGTAAAAATTAAAATCATAGTAACAAATGAATATTAGAAAAGAAATTAGATTTTAAAAGTATATCCCTATAATAAATCGTGAAAAATAGGTCTTTGATAACAAGTATTAAAGAAATTGAGGGCTTAATAACAAATATCAGAAAAAAACTTTGACAAAAAATTAGACACTTATACAAATATTTTAAAAAATTATAATAATAAAAAATATTAAAAAAATTTGAATCCCTAATAATAAATATTAAAGATAAACTACACCTTTAACAACAAGTATTAAAAATAATTGGACTTTTAATTAATATAAAATTATATTTTATAAGTATAATATATTATAAAAACTCTAAACCGGAACATGTACTCCTTCTGCCCTGGCCTAAATACCGCCCTGCCTACAAGTGTCTTGCTGCCGTTTGTTTTTGGTTTTGTTTAAAGCTCACAGCCTCTTGCTTTTCCATTCTCCTGCATGACATGGGTAAGCTTATTTCTTCATTAATTCTTGTTAATGCTCGGATGAACCTTTCAATTTCCCGCTCTTCTTTTTCTTCCATTGCTACCATATTCGATGTTTTACCTACGAATCCGGTGTGTGTGCGGGAAAAGTACAACGAATATAATTCTCTCACCTTGTTTCTTAAGAGTCTTGACAAGGAACCTAAGCGTTCCATCGTGGAATTCAACAAATCTTTAAGAGACATGGTTGGAATGAAACATTATGCGGATGCTGTTTCTATGTGTAGCGAGATGGACTTGGTAGGAGTTTCTCATGATGCTTATTCTCTCAACATCTTGATTCACTGCTTTTGTCAATTAGGCCAAACTGATTTTGGGTTTTCTGTTTTGGGGAAAATGCTCAAGTTAGGAGTTGAACCTGATGTTGTAACCTTGTCCGCTTTGATTAGTGGACTTTGTATGCGACCTAATATTTTGGAAGCCGATAAATTGTTTCACGAGATGATTGAAAGAGGTTATCAACCTAGGTTCAATTTTACAGTTTTAATATTGTGCAGATTGCTTAAGATCATAAAAGCCAAAAGAGCTGTTAGTTTTCTAAGGATGGTGGAAGAAACAGGCATTGAACATGATACTGTTGCATATACCTCTGTCATCGACTCTTATTGCAAGGAGGGGCTGTTACAGGAGGAGGCTCTCCATCTCGTGTCCCAAATGAGGGATAAGGGTATTAGACCAATTGTCGATACTTACACATTCTTAATGCATGCAATATATAAGTCGGAGGGGGCGGCAACTAGGGTTTTGACTGACATGATGGATTACAAAATTTCTCTAAACATCTCCCTCTACAACATATTGATTAATGCACAGTGCAAGGAGGGGATGATTTTCAAAGCTATGGATACCATTGACACAATGAGAAAGCAAGGGATTGAGCCTCATGTGGTCACGTACAATATACTGATTGCTGCACTTTGTGATAAGGGGGTGGTTCCCGAAGCTGAAGCGATTGTTCACACGATGGAAAAGCGAGGAATTAAGCTCGGTTTCGAGACGTATAGTATATTGGTGGATGCACATTGTAAGGACGGAATGGTTCCCAAAGCTGAAGGTATTGCTGTCACAATGAGAAAGCTAGGCATTGAGCCTGATGTTGTCACGTATAATATATTCATCGATGCACTTTGCAAGAAGGGGATGGTATCCGAAGCTGAAGATATCTTTGCCACGATGGCAAAGCAAGGCGTCGCGCCTGATCTTGTCACGTATCGTTCATTGATTGGTGCACTTTACAACGAGGGGATGGTTTCCGAAGCTGAATATATGCTTGACACAATGGAAAAGCAAGGCATCGGGCCTGATGGTGTCAGGTATGATATGTTGATCCCTGCACTTTCCAAAGCTAAAGATATTGTTGACAAAATGAGAAAGCGAGGCATTGAGCCTTGTGATGTCACGTATAATATATTGGTGGATGCCTATTGGAAAGAGGGAATGGTTACCGGAGCTTTAGATGTCATTTCCACAATGAGAAAGCAAGGCATTGAGCCTGATGACGCCACCTGCAACGCTCTTGTGCAATTCATGACGTATGGTATATGAATTTTGTATGCATTTCTTGTTACTCTGTTTATTGTTGCTGATGTTTGCAGTTGGTGTTTGGATCCTATCATTATGATTCAAATATAAAAACTTAAAAGACTTTTGGCTGTAGAGTGTGTTATTTTAAATGCGGAAAAAATGATATGTTGAAAGGTTTAGAAGCTTAAATAACTCTAATGCAGTATGAAATTCTAAAATAGCATACGGTTGTGAGCACTTGAAGTAGGAAGAGGACATTATCATATTAAAATAGTTAAATTGAGATGAAAAGAGATTTTTTTTTTTGTTTTTCTTTTCCTTTTTCTTTTGTGTGGTTTGGACTTGGGACAAGTGTATGTAATGGTAATGGTAGTGGTCATGAATAACTAAGAATTGCTCGGAGTCATCAATCAACCATGTGATGTAATGACAAGTTGAAATGAAATTCTAATTGACGATAGGCCCCGGATTCTACCTGTTCGACCCTTCCCTTCTCCTTTTATCTCAAATAACTTTGAATCAGGTCACGTCACTCTTAAAATTTTTCCTTAAAAGATTTAGGTAAGGAATATCTTTGCAACATATGATATCGAAATTCTGGTAATCAATTTTGCAAAATGATATTTGTTTTCCTTTCTGTTTACATATTTTTCTTAATCACCACTTACAAATAAATATATAACAGAATTGGTAAAATCATATTATAATTATATATCTGAATTGACGAAATCATACCATAACCATACAACCGAATTGGTAAAATCATACCATAATCACTTAGCCACAAGGCAAATTCATTTGTGTACAACTCTTATATCACCACTTTTCATATAGATAGCAAATATATAAAATTTTGTATAGTTAACTATTTGATTCAAATCCATAAATTTCTATATGACCTGCTCCAGCCCTATAGGTCTAAAGTGCGTATCACTTTTTGAACCATGAAAACATAAGTTTTTCGAGTAGTACCACTACATACCATCTCATTTCAAACTCACATCTTGCTTTTCCATTTTGCTTAATCTCAAGATATGGGAAAGCTTAATAGCAAGATGCTTGAATATGAATAAGAATTTCGCATTTCATGCAATTGGTTTGAGTTTATAGATTTAGACTTTATTTAACTACTGTAACACTGGTGATTTTATTTTATTAACAAGAACGAATCAAAAAGCTTTCAACAAATATAATAGCACCATAGAAATGTAGTGTATAGCACTGTTAAGTTTGGTTTGGATATCTTATTTTACGGATCCAATTTTTTTTCAAACTCCTTTGAGTTTAATTCAATTTCACATGGTTTGAATTGTATTCAATAATGATCGGCGTAAAAACGATCTGTTGGTTATAAAATTATCGATAAAATATGATCATTGTAAGTTTAACTTTATTGAATGATATGCATACATTGTATTCGAATTGATAAACTCATACCAGAACCCCTTCCGCTTTAGTATTGGCAGGTTTAGCTGAAGCAAACTCTGTGAAAAACGAGACAGACCAGTGGCTGCATGGTTTTTGGTCAAGGTGGTTCCAGAATCCAACAATTGAACTAACATGGGGATAACACCGGCTTCAGCTACTCTCTTTTTCCATTCCAGATTTGTTGGGGCTCTAACAACATTTTCTGTTAGCTGACTTCTATTGGAATCATTATGCCTGCCACTGCAAAAAAAAAAATTGGAACTGCACCAGCATCCAAATGCCACGGGGTGATCTGGTCATTTTCAGGAAGGTTAGAGATGATGCCCAATATTGTCCATCCCAGAAGCAATCTCTTCTTCATTATTAGAAGATTTGATGATCCTGAGTAAAGTCCTATGCATTTCTGATGCACATGCTCTGGTGTAAAGGTATAACGGCCGTTATATCGTGGTATCGATTACTCCCGTTACCTTTATCAGCCGAAATCACGGTGTAAAACGGTATCACACTGATAACGGCCTCAATTTAACAGGTAAATCGCGGCTATAACGGATCGTTTTTCCTGTTAATCTCCGTTAGTGGGGTCCTCTTCGTCTTCCTCGAGAAGAGCTTCGTCTTCCTTTTCGGCTATAGGTTTTGGTTGATTTGCAGTGGAGGATCCTGCAGAATTGCAGATAGGTTTCTGGGGTACTGCTTGCGCTGTGTTGTATCGTCCCATTCCCTCTGTCGCTTGATTCTGCTGTTATTGTTTCGTTGGTATCTGTCTGCCTTGTGGTTGACCGCTTTTGATGCTGCTGGCCAAGTCTTGATAACCTCTCGCTGACTGTTTTAATCGGTCGAATGTTGCAGTGATGGTCTTCTCTTGGACAGTAGCTACAGAGTTTTGTGGGGCCTTTTATTTGATAAGAATGGATGGTGATGCCGTTAGTTTTTGTATAGGTTTGTTCCCATTTTTTGGTTTCCTTGTTTCTGCTCAAAGGTTGTTGATGGTAATTATTAGGGGTTCTGGGTTGTGATCCTAGATTGGAAAATCTAGTAATAGTCGAGTTCAATTGTGGTGGTTGTTCCTTGTTCAACAAAAATATGATAGACTTTAGGATCATTTTTAACCAAATTCATATTGTTTATCCTTGTTTTGTATGTAGTGTGAATAAATCCATGCAAAACGCCTTTAGAAAAAACACAATTTTTTTGTACGAAGGTGTACACAAATAGAATTTTAAGACAAAAATTCTTAACTGTTATTATTCTTAGTTGTTATATTCATATTTTAAATCTTATTATTTACTCAATATTTTATATTTTTTTATTTGTTATGAGTTAATATAATATTCTTAAGAAATTTATAAATAAATATAAAAATAATTAATGATGGTAAAAATTGTGTTTATGTATTAATAAAAATCTATAAGTGTTACAAAATACTCTAAAAATCATTAAAAGTGATTTTCTATAATTATAATTATAATTATAATTATAATTATAATTACTATATTTTATAATAAGTTGTTTGAATTTAAAAAAAAAGCACGTCCGCAATACCCGCAGTGACCCCGATAGCATCCGTAACGTCCGCGACCGCAATTTGAATCCCTGTTCATCACCATCATTCACCAAGCAGCAGAAAAGCTTCACTGCATTCATCCGTGCATTCTCAGTATCACGCTGGCACAACTGGATAAGCACTTGGATGGCGGAGCTCTGTTAATGCCATAAGTCAGTTTGCATTGAAAATTGAAATAATATCAGTTTGAATAGAAATTTGAAAAAATATCCAGCAAAAGAATTACAAAGATGAGTCAAATCTAAAGATAAATGCATTTGATTGGAGACATGTGAGTCCAGAGTAGACAAAAACATAAAAAAGAAACTTTGGGGGAGGATAATCACCCCTGCAGTATTCTTACATTACCTTCCCTATCATTTACATGAATTAGTTCTAAATGAGAACAATCCTTAAGTACATGATCATAAAATAAAATAAAGGATTGGAAGAATGAGAAAGATGTCCAAAAAGAAAAAGTGCATAGATAAAATAAAATGTTTATCTTAGATTGTTTAACGTGGCCATGGAGTTACATCATTCTCCAATAAAATGTATTCTGTCAGCTTCGTCTTGATACATGTTGCAGAGGGAGATTGGCACAATGCTTGGAACATCTGGAGAAGGTTTTGCTGGACTTCTGGTCCCGTAAGGTTAATCAAAGTGAAGAGCTTGGAGATATCCTCATCGGATTCCAAAAATGAAACCGGAGTCTCATTGGATTCTTGTGACATAGTGGATACAGCAAGGTGCATAACCTTTGCAGCAACCTGTTCACGTAAGGATGGGGATGATGAGCCGATATGGAGGAGATCAAGTAATGGGCGGGATGCACCTTCTTTGATCATCTGCAAACCATTCTGTTGGTTATAAAATTGCCGATAAAGTATGTTCATTGTAAGTTTGAACTTTACTGAATAATATGCATACATTGTATTCGAATTGACAAATTCATACCATAACCATATAACTGAATTGGCAAAATCATACCATAACCATACAGCCGGAACTTAAATTCATTTTTATATAAATCTTATATCACCATTTTTTTTATATGGATATCAAAGTTATATTATTGTCATATCCAACAAGCAAATGAGTATATTTTAATCGTCAGAATGTTCGAAACACGTCATTTAATCATGATATTGGCATACTTTATGAATTTGATTTATTCGTAACATTTCCTTTAGTCTTCATAATTAAAGGTATATTTTAGTATGTTTCCAACAAATAATTCAATTCACTTTCAACTCCAAATTAAAATGGAAATAACATTTCAAAAAGCCCAATGTATAAGATATATATATATAAAGTAAGAAAACATTAAACCACTCATATGCAATAGAGACAACGAAAATCAAATTTAAAATTTTTAGGGGTGGTTTATTTTCTTGTTTAGGATTTTAGATTTAAAGTTTAAGAGTGCATTTCAATACATGTCATCAGTGATGCATTTCAATGAATGTCATTCATTGTAGGCTTATCCCTCATACAATCTCTATAGATTCTGTTATGTTAAAAGTATAACAATCTGATATGAAAGAAAAAGAAAAATCATTTAATTTATTAATAATTGAAGAGTACAATTCAAAATAAAAAAAATATGATTATTGACAAAATAACGAATTGAAAATAAGTTGAGGCTTGTAAAAAGCATTTATTTTATAGTAAATATATTCAAACATTTGTATTGTCCAAATCCTACAAGTGCATCCTAACCCCGGGATTTCGCAAGCTTAAATATAAGGTCTTTAAAGCACAAGGCACAATATCATCTTAAATAAAACAATTATTTGTAAGTGTGTTGGTGTATATAAATTATTCTCATTTTTTTTATCCTAAAAGTGTGGGATATGAGTTTTTCATTTTTCTTACACAACATAATTCACAAGTATCCTATTTTGAGCATCAATTTCACATTCATCACTCAATCGTTTTAAATATATGAGATACTGTTGAAAAGATCTCATGGAGTATAATACAAATTAGTAAATTCATTATTCGAATATCCATTTTTATCTATTTAAAATATGACTCAGCTTTCAAT